ACATTAGAACATTAACACATTAGAACATTAACACATTAGAACATTAACATTAGAACATTAACACATTAGAACATTAACACATTAGAACATTAACACATTAGAACATTAACACATTAGAACATTAACACATTAGAACATTAACACATTAGAACATTAGAACATTAGAACATTAACACATTAGAACATTAACACATTAGAACATTAACACATTAGAACATTAGAACATTAGAACACATTAGAACATTAGACATTAACATTAGAACATTAACACATTAGAACATTAACACATTAGAACATTAGAACATTAACACATTAGAACATTAGAACATTAACACATTAGAACATTAGAACATTAGAACATTAGAACATTAGAACATGGCATAAAGCTCACAGTGAGTTTGTGTGATTCAGGAGCTTTTAAAGAGATTAAGCACAACACTGTTTTATCACGATGTTCTAGTGTCACCAGACCAACATTTCAATCTCGATTTCGATACTAAGGAATTGACTTGATACAGATTCTGACAGAACGATGCTCAGAATAAAAAACACTTTCTTTAGACAAAAGTCAACGTCCCGTACCACACAAACGGACTCTGAGCTTTGAGTCATGTTCTAATGTTCTACTGTTCTGTCGCTCCTGGTCACACTCAGAGCTGGAGTTGTTTGTTTGAGTGTTTCTTTATTCTGAGTTTGTTAGATCTCCAAAGCTCCAAACACTTTGTTCCACCTTGTGATGTCATGAAGTGAACAGCTCCTTTTCCCTTTAGTTCAGTCCAGATCGGCAACTCCAGGACTGAAATGATCCAAATGATGCTGGGGGAGGAGCTACGGGGAGGGGGGAGGGGCTAGGGAACACATGTGCACTGACGATAGCTCACTTCCTGCTTCCCATGATCCTTAGCGTGTGAGCCGCGGGCCGCTGCTGCGTCGTCACGGCGTCCAAGAGTGCATCCTCCTGGTCACGCAGAGAATCACCAAATACCCCGTCCTCCTGCAGAGGATCCTGGACTGCACTAAAGGTCTGCTCCTGTCTGCTCCTGCCTGCTCCTGCCTGCTCCTGCCTCACTCCGGTCTCACTCCGGTCTCACTCCGGTCTCACTCCGGTCACACTCCGGTCACACTCCGGTCACTCCGGTCTCACTCCGGTCACACTCCGGTCTCACTCCGGTCTCACTCCGGTCTCACTCCGGTCTCACTCCGGTCTCACTCCGGTCTCACTCCGGTCACACTCCGGTCACACTCCGGTCTCACTCTGGTCTCATTCTGGTCTCACTCCGGTCTCACTCTGGTCTCACTCCGGTCACACTCTGGTCTCACTCTGGTCTCACTCTGGTCACACTCTGGTCTCACTCTGGTCTCGCTTTGATCTCCTCTCTTGCAGGAGACCCTGAGGAGTCTGTGGTCCTGTCCCGGGCGCTGAAGCTGTTGAAGGAGGTGCTGGGCTGTGTGGACAGGGAGGTGCTGGAGCTGGAGCGGACGCGGCGTCTCCAGGAGGTGCAGAGCCGTTTGGATCCTCGCGCCGAGGCCCGGGTCCGAGGAGGCACGTTCCGATCGGGAGAGCTGCACCGCCGCCGTCTCCTCCACGAGGGGGCGCTGCTCTGGAGGCTCCAGGGCTCCCGCATGAAGGGTCAGATCTCCTCCTCTTCCTCCTGTGTGTCAAATGCCCTTCCTCCTTCTCCTGTGTGTCAGATGCCCTTCCTCCTTCTCCTGTGTGTCAGATGCCCTCTCAAGATGGGGGCAGGTCAAAGGGTTGTGTTTCACTTTTGTTTCACATCTGTTTTCCACGTTTGTGTTTGACGTTTGTGTTTGGTTTTGTGTTTCACGTTTGTTTTTCACGTTTGTGTTTGGTGTTTGTGTTCCAGACGTGCGTGTGCTACTCATGAACGATGTGCTGGTTTTTCTTCAGGACAAAGACCAAAAGTTCACCTTCGCATCTCTCGTGAGTTTAGTTTCACTTTTGTTCTGGTGGTTTGAGAAAAAATCATTCACCTTGGTAAATCAATTGTATATTTGGAGTTCTTAGAGAAACAAAATGAAAAACTTCAACATAACTTTTCAAAATGGTCCCAGTTGGGTTTGTTCATTAATTTAGGGGAGAGTTACAGGATACTGAAATTGTTTTACTAAAATAAATTAAAATAAGATAAAAAATAATAATAATAAAAATAGAACCCAAAGTGTATTTTATTCTCACTGGCCACGTTTAGGTGATGTTTTTTAATTCCCAAGCAAATGTGATACCACATTTGTAAACGTTGCAAATGTGGTATCAGAATTTGTTTTGAGTCTATTCCTTAGTAACAAACACTGTCCTCTACAGGGGGCGCTGTTTAGGGCTCACACTTTTAGCTGTATCTGAATGACCAGCAGGTGAAACAGTAGTGTACTCAGTCTCCCACAATACACCTATAAAAGTAGTTCCAGCTTTGGTCACTAGGGGTCAGAGCACAATGCACTGGACAGATACAGGTGTGTATGTTTGTGTTTTATGTGTTTATTTGTATGTTTCTCAGGATAAATCCCCCGTGGTTTCTCTCACCGGACTCATCGTTCGGGACATAGCGAATCAGGAGAAGGGTTTGTATCTGATCAGTGACTGTACGCCTCCTGAGATGTACGAGCTCCACACCAGCTCCAAAGAAGAACGCAAGACCTGGATCAACAAGATCCACCAGGCTGTGCTCAGGTACTGAACCTGGACTAAACCAGGTCTAAACCAGTTCTAAACCAGTTCTAAACCAGGTCTGTTTGCAGTTGTCCATCTCGAGCTGAGTTTCCGTTGATTGAGACCGAAGACAAGGCTCTGCAGCGGCGCCTGCGAGGTCTGTGATTGGCTCTTTCCTCTCGTCCCACTGGCCACATTTACATGGTGTTTTTTAATTCCGAATTAATTGTTCTGAAGTAAATAGTGTAAAATTAAAATATTATTCTTGGAGTTTACATAAAAATAATAATTTCAAATTAGGTTAAATTGTCTTCATTTAATTGTGCTCAGCATCTGGGGGTGGGGAAGGTTCTGATTGGACAGAGACACTAATGGATTTACTTCTTTGGGAAGAAAACACACACTTCAGCTGCTCCCGGCTTTTCTGTCATCTCGGTTTTTCGTTCCTCCACGGACACAAACACCATCCAAACATTTCCCGCAGTGGTTCCGATGATAATTACGAAGCAGCAGCTGGAGAATTGTCTCATCACACTTTACGTCTGTGAGCTGAGGAGGAGAAGGAAGGAAGAAGACAAAGTGAGTGTGAGGCGGCTCTACCTCAGCCCACTCCCGCATCCCGCTCACAAATCCAAAGAGACGTGGATCAAAATCCCAAGACAGAACTGGTGGAGCTGGATCGTCCGGATCAACGCGTCAAAAGGACGACACAACGAGCATGAAGCACCAGCAGCATTTTAACAACAACAAACCACAAACAGGATCCAAGAACAAAATTCATTCGGCTTTAAAATCAGAATAAACCAAACACTTACTTCGGAATTAAGTTGAATTCTGAATAATCGTTTTCATTAGGAAAGAAGTGTTTACACAGTGTTTTTAAAGTGGATTTCATTTTAATTCAGAATTTTAAAAATGTATTCGGAATTAAAGCTCATATGGAAATATGGCAAATGTCTTTCTTCACTTGTCTCGTCTCATCTTCTCTCCTCTCGTGTGATTGGCTGCAGCGGAGATCCAGCAGAAGGATCGTGAGGTTCTGGAGCTGCTTCAGGAGAGACTAACGCTGTTCTCAGACCTGGTCCAGGCCACAAGTCTGGACCCAGATCCAGAGAGACCCAAGACGGACTTCAGTCGTCGCCTTTTCCGCTCTGACTCAGGCCCCGCCCCCCAGGCCGAGCCACTGCTCCACGGCGCCATCTGTGAAGGTGACGCGCTATTGTTTGTCTAGGACTAAACCAAGACTAAACCAGGACTAAGCCAGGACTAAACCAGGACTATTAGTATCATAATCTCTGTGCCATGTTCTTCACGTCTTTGTGTTGTTTGTTTCAGTGGAGAAGCTCAGCGAGCTCCTGATGGACTGTAAGATCCAGAGGAACGCAGACGCTCAACCAATCAGTGAGTCCGCCTCAACTGACCCCACCCTTCATCACAGACCCCGCCCCTCTCCACAGACCCCGCCCCTCTCCACAGACCCTCTCTTTCTCCTATGTTCTAACTAGGACCCGACTGGCCGATGTGGCCACTTGGCGACATATTAGCCGTCTGCATAAATCTTGCCGATCTGGGCCGATAGTCCATGTGGGCGTGTTATACCTCGTTACGAAGCTCAGACTTTCTATATTATGTCTGTTTAACCCAATTTACAGACGCATAAATGTCCTAAGATGTGGCGCTGCATTAGTATTTATATATATAGAATATTTACAGTAGAAATAAATACTGCCTCTTTAATACCCCATAGTTACCTTACTATATTACTCAAGTAGGAGTAAAAGTAGGCTTCTAGAAAAGTAAATGTGCCTGTGATTTTCCAGACGAGTCGGCGCCAAACGGCTGTGTCCAGATGAACGGCGGCTCCTCGAAGGTAAACCTCGTGTCTGAGTCAAATACTGTGTAATAATAATAATACATAATATGATTTTATGTGTAATAATATGAATATTAATGCATTTTATTTATTAGGCGTCATTATAGACACTCACAATGAAATAAATGTGATTATGTGTTTAGGACAAAAATGGAAACCAGCTCCAAGAATTGACCCTGACCCAGGTAAAAGCTTTTATTGTGAAGGAACTCCCCTGAAACTAGTGATTTGTATTTGTAGGGCTGACTGTGCTTTTATTTTGTAGGTCTGCATGTGCTTTTATTTTGTAGGCCTGCCTGTGTTTCTCTGATGGTTCTTTTATTTTGTAGGAGGTGTGTCGGCGACTGGTGACTCTCAGTTCGCAGCTCCACGCGCTGCAGGTACAGACTCTGTATAATTTCTCTTTATTTTAATAATAAATAAATAAAACTCATTCTAATTGATCTGTGTTTGGATAATGAGTCTTTAAAATTGCAGCAGCACAAACACAGAGGCCTGTCCATGTCAAGTGTCAGTGTTTTTCATTTAATTCGGCTCTTTCCTCTATGCCCCACCTCCAGGCTGCTGTTATTCGTCAGGATTCACTCCTGGAGTTGTCCATCAAGTTAGGACCCGCCCCCCTGAGCGGGGGAGCGGGGCAGGACGGGGAGGCGGGACTTCTGCGCCGCCAGGTGACTCTTCTACAACAGGAAGTGACACGGCTGCACGCTCTCGTCCCATTGGCAGAGCTGAGGCGCCATGCTCGCGCTCCATTGGCCGATCAGGAAGAGGATGCTGTGGACGGGGCCAATGAGAATGCATCTCAGCGATCAGACAGCCCCCGAGGTAATAATGATAATTATTATTATAATATTAAAAATCATAACAATAATAGTGGTTTAAAGTGAAGTGTGTAGGAGGAGGGGACTCTTTCACTCATCTTTTATTGTTTGTGTTTCACAGATCTGCAGGACATTCCAGAGGAGAGCGAGACCTGACACACCTGAGGTCACATGACCACACCTCAGGTCACATGAAAAGACCTGAGGTCACATGCCTCTTTTCTTCTTTTTCACTGGTGACTTTTAAGATGAAGCTGCTGTGGAGCACCTCTGGAAGTTCTGATGAACATTGAGAAACCAAAACTGGACCTGGTCTCAACCTTGACCTGGTCTCAACCTGGACTTAAGAAAACCTGAGGACTCTGGCGGGACCGAAGGGTGGGGGGAGGGGCATGGTTTTACTGATCACATGAGTCACATGATCTGAGCCCAGCGCCTCCTAACTGAAGTGACGTTCCCAAGATGAACGCAGCAAAAATATAAACATGGGTTTTAATGTTTGTATGTTTTGGATTGTTTAAATTAAATGTTTAAATGCAAATATTGAAATTAATTGTAAATTTAACACCAGGATGAAGGTGGTTCATCAGAGCTGGTGTAACCATGGCAACTGAAACAATGAAGGACCAGACCGCAGGCCGACTGAAAACTTGAACTTGCGAATTAAACATTTAGTTTAGTTTAGTACTTCCAGTGGAAATGTTCCGTTTGTGCTGTAAAAGCTTTGGGGTAGGGTTAGCAAAAGCTTTTATATTTAAAACACTTCTATGTACAGTATGTGTGTATTTAAAGGGTTCTTTACATTTCTGAGCTGTAGCAGAGACTAAACCAACATTTCATTTATGAATCTGGTGATTCCTTTGGGACTGAGCTGGAGATGACCTGGACCTAATTGTAACCCTGAAGATGAGTCTGACCCTGCAGATGCTGGAGCTTAAGCTTTTTGTTAAAGTGAAACACGAAGAACATTTCAGAAAAAATTGAAGGCTGTTTATCTTTAAACTCTGCTGTAAAACTGAAAGCTGCGCACGAGAGAACAGTGCACGTGAGGACAGTGCATGTGACAGCCGTGCACGTGGAAAGACTCTTGCATGTGCTTTTGTTTAGTGCTTTCATTTATGGTGCTGTTTTAGAGTAGAACTGATCATGTGACATATTTTATAAAGTTATTCAAATTAAAATGTTTTTATACAAAAATTAAAGTGTCTCATTTACTTTATTTTTTGTTTGATGTAGTCCCTCCATATCCTTCATATCTGCTGTGGTTAGTTCTCTTTCTGCATCACACGTGGATTTTGAGAGTCACTTTGGTGTTGTCCCTTTGCATCATGAAGTTCTGTAGTCCCTCATCTAACCATGTTTGCCAACAAATTTTCCAAAAATATCCATAAAAATATTCAGTGAAGCATTTAGATCCTCTTCCTGAAGAACTGCCAAACAATCATAACTTTTAATATACCCAACAAACAGGCCAGGATCTAACCTTCTGTAAGATTTGTAGTAAGGATCCTCAAAGCAGATTTATGCATTTTTCTTCTACTTGTTACATCTATCAGATTATTATCAGAAACCGCCTGAGGTGAATCGGGCATTTGTAAAAATGTGGGCTATACATGGTGATTTAGATGTAACGTCCAATGAAATTCTTGTGCTTTACAACAGTTCACACCCACATTCATACGCTAGTGTACACAGACACTGGGGGTTAGGTAGGTTAAGTGTCTTGCCCAAGGACACAACGACAGCATTCACTTGTGGGGGCTGGAATTACAGTCCCTGAGTAGGGTTAGGGTTTAGGGTTAGTGTTTTTGGCCCCATCCCCAGACGGGAACGGGTAATGCACGGGCCCTCTTCTCGGACTCAGGCCCAACGCCCTCCGTCGTTCTCTGTTAGCTTTTCTATTCTTTTTAGTTCTGTTACTGTTGTTATTTAGATTTGTTTGTTTGTTTCCTCTCATTTCTGCCGTCGTGTTTCATCTCTGCATCTTGCATTTGTTTTCATTTTCTTTCAGATCTTTTTTGTTGTCTTTCTTTCAGAACTTTTTTGTTCTCTTATTCATTTCTGTTGCTTTTATTTGTTTCTTTTTTTTTTTTTGAACAATAATTTATTGTCTTTTTTTTTTACAAAATAGAACAATACAATACAATCCAGCACAGCTTAGTCTGCATAGAACCAAATGGACAAAGACCGTCACAAGGTCTGAGTCAGAGCCAAAATGAAAAAGAAATAAACCCCGCACAATTATTGATTAAAATTAAAAACAAATTGGGAGCCTCCTTTATAAAGCACATCAGCCAAGTCCGGAGGACGGTGGTCCAGAAAGGGTTGCCATATTTTATAGAAAGTGTTTGAATTGCCTTTTAAGAGACACTGAGGCGTTCCATTGGGAAAACTTTAAAAGTCTCTCTGTACCATTGTGTAACAGATGGAGGTGTTGCCTGTATCCACTGAAGCAGGATGCTTCTTCTTGCCAGGTGTAAAAGTTTACGTAATAACATCATCTGCCCTGGTAACGCAGGCAGCCTCTCAGACAGGCCAAAAAGAAACAAAACCGGCTCCACGGGACAACTCGATGAAAAATGGAGCGGAGCTCCGTAGCAACATTCCTCCAAAACCTGAGTATCAACGGACACTGCCAGATACAATGATAATAAGTGCCCACAATGTTTTTACATTTTACACACAAAGGTGAGTATTGAGGGTGAATCTTATGCAAGAATTGAGGAGTACGTTGAAGTCTGTGTAAAATTCTATATTGGTTCTCCCTGAGTTTATTACAAGTAAAACTTTTTTTGGCCACCCTAGAAGCTCTTAACCAAGTCTCAGTCCTAAACTCAATCCCCATATCCAATTCCCAATGAGTCCTGGAATTCCCCGTGGTGGAAGGTCTTGATTCCATTAACTGTGCATAGCAAAGAGAAATAAATTTCTTTTTTGGTATTGCATCCTTATTAAATTTTAATAGAAATGTTTCTATTGAGTTTAAGATGGGTTGATCACCCGGGAAAGAAAGGGATGATTGAACAAAGTGTCTCACCTGGAGAAAACCAAAAAAGTCCTTCTTTGAAACTCCATACCTATTCTGAATTTGTTTAAATGACATAAGATCACCCTCCTCAAACAAGTCGCAGACAAGTTTCAAACCTTTGAAATACCAGTTTTGGAATATGCTGAGACCTGTACCCGGAGTAAATGCCGTATTTTTAATAAGAGGCTGCATCGCACTTGAAAAGTTTTTCCACCCAAGATGACCCTTAATATTACGCCAAACTCTTAATGTTACGAGCAGAATGTTTTTGTCTTTAAGCCCCACTGGTAGTTTAGTCTGATCTGAGGACAAGAGACTCAGCAGTGAAAGAGGCTCACAGCACCAACTGTCCACATGAGGCTCAGTGTCGTGTAAGAATGCACGTAACCACCCCGACACTATTCGGACATGACAGGCCCAATAGTAATATTTAAAGTTCGGTAACGCCTGACCGCCCTCGTCAGCTGGAAGTTGCAAAGTATTCATCTTAAGCCTAGGTTTTTTCCCATGCCATATAAATTTGGATAAATTTTTTTCTATCTCAGAGAATGTTGTCTTTATTAATTTTAAGAGGTAACATTTGCATAGGATAGAGTATCCTGGGAAGGATATTCATTTTGATCAAATTTATCCTGCCTAATAATGACAGAGGGAGGTCAAACCACCTGTCCAGATCACCTTTTACTGAATTCAAGATTGTTTTAAAGTTTAATTTGTATAATTCAGAGGTATTTGCTGATACTCTAATGCCTAAATATGTAAAACCTTCAGTTGACCATCTAAAGGGAAAATTAGCAGGGGGGCCCCCTCCCCCCCTCTGATCCCCCAGCGGTAGGGCTTCAGATTTATCAAAGTTAATTTTATACCCAGAAATTTGCCCAAATTGATTAATAATAGAAAGTAGAATTGGAATGGATGTCTCTAGCTTGGTAACAAACAATAACACGTCATCGGCATAAAGTGAAATTTTGTATTCAGTGTTTCCCAGTTTAATTCCACAGACTCCAGGGTGAGTTCTTATAGCCTCCGCTAGTGGCTCCAGAGCTAATGCAAATAGGAGGGGAGAGAGGGGGCAGCCCTGACGGGTTCCCCTGCCCAGGGGGAAGATATCAGAGACTGAACCATTCACCAGAACCCCTGCAGAAGGAGCACTGTACAACAATTTAATCCACCCAGAAAACTCAGGGCCCAAACCAAACCTATTTAACACATTGAATAGTTACCCCCACTCCACCCGATCAAAAGCTTTCTCAGCATCCAGTGAAATTGCAAGGGCCTTGTAATTCCTATTTTGTGAAAATTGCAAGATATTTAAAAGTCGGCGCATGTTGGAGCGGGAGTACCTGTTTTTTACAAATCCAGTCTGGTCAGGCTTCACCAAAATCGGTAGGACTTCTTCCAGTCTCCTAGCCAAGATCTTAGATAAAATTTTACAATCCACCCGAAGCAAACTGATTGGTCTATAAGATGTGCACATATCAGGAGGCTTATTCTTTTTGAGAATTAAAGAAATATGTGCCACATTCAAAGTAGGTGGGAGTGCTCCACATCCGAATGATTCCTTATACATATTCAATAATGGGCTCACATTATGTTTAGCCATTTTTTAATAGAAATCAGGCCCAAAGCCATCTGGGCCCGGGGCCTTCCCACTCTGTAAAGATTGTATAGCTTTTAAGACCTCTTGAGTACTTATTGGTTTACCCAAATCAAGTCTTTCTTGTTGGGACAACACAGAGAGACCAATTCCATCAAAAAAACTTTCATTGGAATTTGTTGTGTTGTCACATCGCGAGGAATAGAGGTCCTCATAAAACTCCTTAAGTATTTTACAGATGTGTTTTGATTCAAAATGCAAATTTCCCTTTTTATCCCTGAGAGAAGATATTGCATGATTCCCACATTTCCCCTGGGCAAGTCGGGCAAGGAGGCGTCCAGGTTTATTTCCAGATTCAAATAATCTATGCCTTGCATAAAATATTGCCATTTCTGCTTTTTGAGTAAGTAATTGGTCTAGAGCGAGGAGGACTGTTTAAAGTCCCTCTCCAAGATCAAAATTTGCTGTTCAAGTTCCAGTTGTCTGGCAAGGGCATTCTTCTTCTTTGCAGCAGTAAATGAAATAATAGAGCCTCTAAGGAATGCCTTGCCCGCTTCCCATAGAGTGGAGGCACTAACCTCTGGTGTATCATTCGTGGACACGAATAACCCCCACTGGTCTTCTAGATATTTAACAAATACAGAGTCACTCAAGAGGGTGGGATCCAAGCGCCATCGTCTTGCTAAAGGGTCATAGTGTGGTGGCAACAGATCCACAGAAACTGATGAGTGGTCCGAAAGGACACATGGAGTAATGACGCACAACTGAATTCTATCAAGAACAGATCTAGAGACAAATAAAAAATCTATTCTAGAAAAAGACTGATGAGGACGTGAATAAAATGTGAAATCCTTAACATGTGGGTTACAAACCTTCCATGCATCAAAAAGACCAAGATCAGTGCACAGTTCAGCTGTAGCTTTGACCATTTTAGAAGGTGGTTGACTCTTGGGTGGACTGTAATCAGTATCTGGAGAAAGGCCACAGTTAAAATCCCCTCCTAGTAACACACGGGTAGAACATATAGAGGAGATTTCTGCCAAAAGTTTGGAGTAAAATGCACAGTCATATGTATTTGGGGCATATACACTGCCTAGTAAAATCTGTTCTTCCATATAAAATCCCAGTGATTACCACAAATCGTCCCTCTTCATCTTTTACAATGTTGTCCACTGTAAAAGGCAGGTTTTTATGGATAAGTATTGCCACCCCTCTGCTCTTAGAATTAAAAGATGAGTAGTAAATCTGTCCCACCCAGTCCCGCTTCAGTTTTAAATGCTCAGGATCGGTTAGGTGGGTTTCTTGTAATAATGCAATTTTTACCCTGTCTTTTTTAAGCATGGAAAGTACTTTACGCCTTTTAACAACATGATTAATTCCCTTGACATTAAGTGTTAATATTTTTGTGTCACTCATTACCCATACTCAGTAACCTGGTAAAGACTTGACTCTTGAACTAGACTAGCTGTGCTGGTACCAACAAAGCCACTAAACTTAGATGGCCAGAGAACAAACATGTCAAACCAAATGAAAAGTACGAAAACAAAAATACAAATACAAAAACACAAATATACACC